AGAAGGCATTAGGACTAGATGACTCTCCAGGCACAATAATAGAAAGGGTCAAGAATGAAATACGATTTCCAAAATGAGCTTCATCTTTTAACAAGTCTTCTTGTTTGACAATATATCGCCGAAGGTTAACATCTAGAGTTGACATCACGGTCTGTGGCCTTCTGACTTTTCCTCCCTGTATGATTCTCTAGAGTTCTCAGTAAAATGCGGTGATATGCGTCTGTCCAGACGTTATTATAGATCCAAGTCAAAGAAAGTTTTGAGAGAAATCCCGTGTGCTAAGGGTATTTGAGTCATGAAGTACAAATAAGGCATACTGTATTTACTATTTTAGAAGCACACCAGCACACCATAAAGTAAAAATTGTATTTATTTCATGCAAAATTATTGAAGTATGTAATATTTTGACCTCAGACCTGCCTTTGACATTTACATTTGAGCAGATGTGCTAAAAGAGCATTTAAAAATACAACTTCAACCAGTGATCAGGGTGGTTCAAGGTGACTATTATAAATAACCAATGAAATTATTTCCATATATCATGACGTGATATTTCATATATCTTGTCCGATCTGAAACAGTCACGTGACCAAGTATATCTGCTCGTATATCGTTTTTCTTGTGCCCTCATTATGGCACTGGTTTCAAGTCACTATTTGCAGCAGTGATTACAGTTTTGCATAATAATTAGGTCACATGACCACCAATGGTAATCTGATATGTTAGTAATATCTCTTTTATGATGGCTTCGATATAGCACCCCCGACTGTAACGGTGTCTGTGATATTACATTCATGCATATTAATTAAGTCGCATGACCATATATTGACATGTGGTATGTTATTCATATCTCTTGTCTTTCCTCTATTATAGCACTTGTTGCATGTTATTAACTAAAGCAATGCTAAATAAATTACAGTTATGCATATTAATTAGGTCGTATGACCATCTGGTATGTTAGTCGTATCTCTTGTTGCATGTCCTTATCTGCAAATGTGCTTGAGATATTACATTTATGCATAGTAACGAGGTCACATGAACCTATTAATATAAGGTAGATAATTAATACGCATGGTTTTCAACCTTGAAATAATCATATCTGTGGATTATCCGAATACATCTGTGTACTCAAGCTATTCCTGTTACACATAAATTGGATAATTTATGCAAATTAGGTAATTATTAGCACATAATTAAATCTTAAGCTAAACATATATATGGCTTATCCAGAGCACGCATGTACCATGTTTCATTGAATCCCATGAGTGATTGAGATATTGATGGAAAAGCTAAAAATTAGCTAATCATTGAAAACTAATAAGTTCTGCGCATTATTCCAGGGTGTATATGTACCAATTGTCATTGAAATATGTTAAATGCTACTTAAAATCAAGTGAAAATGTTTAAAATTGGCTAACTAATATGCAAATTGAGTAATTAATATTCAAAAATTGCAACCAAAAACTAATCAGGTCTGTGCATTACCCCCAGCCCATCTGTGTAAGTTTCATTGAATTCTGTTGAATGGTACATGAGAAACAATTGAAAGAACTTAAAATTAAATAATGCTAAATAATTTGCATATTAGGTTATATTAATATGCATGTTTTCAATCAAAAACTAGTCAAGACTGCGCATTATCTCAATCATTGGTATACAGCAACCGAGGAGGGTGATGGCTTTTCGACAAGTGTCAAGACTTCGTGAACGTTGTCATATTAAAAAAACATTTGATATGCCATTATTACAAATTTGCTCCATAAAACCTCATTACTGGCATTTATTGATCTATAAGATTAAAGCGGGAGAGTCGCCACATACGCATGCGTCAGGTGTCCATAACGTGTCATTGTTTACAAACAAGCATCTATCCATGAGCCTTTTCGTTTTTTAGCGTGTGTTGTTGTCATCGCATGGGATTCCCGCGCATGCTCAGGTGACGACCCTCCCGCTTTAATGTTTACAGTGATTGATTCGATTTGTCATTTATCAAGTCGAATCGTTAAGCATGGATGTGAAGATGAAGACTTATCTGTGTATCACGTCGCAGCGGTAGGCATGCGTGAAGCCACAACCGACGATAACAACATATGCTAAAAAACGCAAAGGCGTATGGGTAGACGCTTGTTTGAAAACAACGACACGCTATGCGCGTGCGCAGGAGACGACCCTCCCGCTTCAATCGAAAATCATAAATCCAAATTTAATAGGACATTTGCACCTCTGACATTCTGACAAGATTTCCTGTTGTTTGACCGTACAAGACCATGAATATTCCGTTAGTTTCATGCAAACTAGATGTTTAGAGGATATTTTAGTCAAATGCAAAAATAATCCGTTATCCCATTGATCACCGTCTAGTCTAAAGCCCCAATTCCATGGTTTCTGAATCGCAAAACAATCGATAACATAAAATCGTCGTTTTGTTTTCGTTTATTACCCTCTTTATTTTAAAACGAAATTAACTCAAAGAAATCCTCATGGTCGAGTCACATGGATAGATAAAATGTACTTTTACATATATATAATTTTCTTGTTTCTATTGCAGGCATAAACCTTGAAAATCATCAACAAATTTTGTCTGATTCATAAAAAATGATGCCCAAAAAAATCAAACCCTTATTAATGTGCCGGAAAACGACTTGACTATCGTATATTATATGCTGAAATATCCGTCTAACCATGGAGGTAATAAGATTAATAAGGTAATTATTACCCCCATGGTCTAACCATGGTCTACTCTGAGGTCTAACATACTACATCCCCAAAAGCTTAGGAACGACGTCAAAAGATCGATGTCGGATAAAAAACCTAATTCCTTTAGTTTTTTTCCAAACCCCCCTACGCCCCACTGAAACTTAATTCATATTATTGATAAATATTGGTCATGGCGTCAGACTACATTCACCATTAAATACAAATTGATAATCGGACAGTAGTATTGCATAGCAGTTGGTTGTCGGGTGGGTGTAAACAGATTTTACAAATGCATCTCATTTGACGCACAGATTTACACTTGAACCAAACCATTTTTTTTTTTTTTTTTTTTCCTTTTCGGTTATTTCTGTCCATGATCTGATAGAAAAAAAACGAACTACAAATACTCCAAGATTTTTTTGACTTCATTAAAAAATAAAATCGTTTTTGTAGGATGGAAACTTTTTGAGGTCAAAACCCCCCACCCCCAAACTAAAGGAAATAAGTTTTTTATCCGACATCGATCTTTTGACGTCGTCCCTTACCGAGACCATCTTAGCGTAACCAGTAACAACAGCGCCACCAACAACTGAATTCATCAAAAGCTCAAACCTTTTGTTTATTTCTCGCAAACCCACACCAATTGCGAGACTTCGACGTGATTTCATCCGCCATTTTGAAAAAATATTCACAACGTGAGTTGCCAAAATGAAAGACGTCTCCGGTTTTTTAAGCGAACAGCAAAGTAGTTCGAGTCCGGAGGTAGCCGCCGAATGGGCTAAGCTTGAAGAACTGTATAACAAAAAGTGAGTGGTATTTAAGAATGTTTATGCATAAGTTCTCGATTCTCTATTTTACGTTGTCTGCCCCAAACACAATCTCCATAGAGAATATGTTAGTCTTGGTACATCACTGTTTTGAAAACAGAATCTCCAAAAAGCCGACTGGTAAGTAATTACTTTTTTGTGAGGATATCCAATTGTTTTAGGCAAATATGAGAGGTAAAACTTGGACTAAAATAATCTATTCTGTTCGTGTAAGTAGTTTCTATTTATATTTATCATTGATTCATTATTCAATTGAATTTTGAATTCTTTTTAAATCAATTTTTACATTTCATGTACTTTTATTATTTACTTTATTAATCTGAAAACCTAAATAGAAATGTTAACTCTTTTTCTTGACGGTATTAATAAAGCATTATTCTTTTCTATTCAATTACATTATCAAAATTAAATGGGTGAGTATGACTTCTGTTTGTGACTCAATACTCAAAAAGAGATTTGTGGTAAAGTTAAAGAAATACGTGTTTTGCTCTTATCAACCATAATCCTAATGCCAAGAAAGTGGAAACACAAAATTTCAAATATTATTTTTGGAATTGCCAGTTTAGATCGCTTTGATGAAAGCTAAAATAAACATTTCAGAATTTTTGCACAATAATTTTTTGAATAAATAATCCAAAACCTGCTACCATGGAAATGTTAGATTGTTCTGTATTATAACCAGTAAATAACTTTCAGAATACTAAAATTTATATAAAATTTATATTAATAAATATAAATTTATATTAATATATTATTTGTGAATTTGATGTCAGTAATGTCATCGAGTATATCGGTAATTTTCAAATGACCTGAACATCTTCCAATCAGCAACCAGATTAGCACTTAAGGAGCAGTACAAAAAAGAATTCCAATAAACAATCTCAACCTCTCGTTTGAATTTGAATCTGCACTAATAAATCCTCTTATTTACAAAGTTTGAGTTTACAACATCCATGGGTAATCCAAATTGAGAGTACTGTAAAATACTTTATTTTACCTGGAATTTAATATTCTCTGAAAAGACTTTTTGAGTGTTTTGTATGAAATTTGTTTTTCATTGATTTTTGATGTGTTGGATATGAAGTACAGGATAACAAGGTATATTCGCTGGATTTTATTTTCAGTGATTCATCCCTTTTAATAGCCAAAATAAGTTCCAACTAAAAAAAAAGTATTTTAGAGTATAGTGAACTTGGTGAATTATTTTTGTTTTTTCTTTGCAGACTTTGGCATCAGCTGACATTACATCTTCTCGTCTTTGTCAAAAATCCATGTTTTGATCAAGGTGATGGATTATTACAGGTATGGTACCGTAGTTGTCAGAGTATAACCCCAAAATTATAGCATTTTACAAGTCATTTATCTGATTATAACAATTGTGAAACACAGCATGACTAGATCGCGCATCGGGATCATTTGCTGCTACGCAATGAAGTTGTGTTTGTTTTTATTTAAAACTTCGTTTAGAATTTACTTTTGTTACCCCAAAACGTACAGACCAATATTCATGTAAAAAGCAGGGTCGAATGCTGTTCCACTTAGTAAACACACACCCAAGAGTGATTAGTGACCCCGGGGCCTAACAACCGATCCTCAAGTTAATTTGGACGGCGCTAATCGATGAAGACACTTGTGTACACACGCTGAGTTGTTGAATTAGCATAAATTATTGCTCAGGAGAAGTTTTAACTTTTATCAGTTTTTAAGCTCCCCCCCCCCTAATTTCAGTCAATTTGCCCTTTTATTGGGGTTTATACTTGGACAACTATGGTACATTGTATTTGCAGAATGGAATCAGGGAATGAAGGTTGTCCACCATACTTGAACTGCACTGGTGCAAACACTGGATAATATAGACTCAGTAAATACAATAATATCATATTATATACCACTAACAAACACTCTTGTGTATGTACTTGTTATTTCACAGTTGTATGAACATTTCCTTTCCGACTTTGAACATCGGATAAATGCTCTATCGCTTACAGAGTTGGTAGTTATCATCATCAAACAAATTAAAGGTGGGTGTGACATTAAATTGAAAAGTAGATAGCATCGTCGTCATAATCTTATTATTATACAAGAGTTGATACAATCGGGATACCAGAAATAAAAACAAATGGGATCATTGGATGATTTTAACAAGATATAAGAGTTCAAATGTCATAGAAAATGGTGAGAGTTTGCATTTTACACTAATTTTAATGGATTATTTATTCATATCTCAAAATTTATGTGGTAGTTGCTTCATCTGTTTTACATAAATTTTAAAAATTCCCCATAAATGTAATATATAAGCTAAATTTACATGAACACTGAAAAGAAGGACAATACTAGTAGTGGTGAACACCTTTGCCAGCAATCACCACTGTCTTTAATTGTCTCTGCAAGGGTGGCACTTCAATTCATTTATTGTGAAGTATATCATCTATTTATAAATGAGTAATTTCATAATAAAAGTCGTCTTCATTCAGTAGGTAGAAAGACTCCCATAAAAAAAAAAAAGCTTGTTTGTGTTTTAGAGATTTTAGGTATGCCAAACTTGCCTTAATTTGTAACACATCGTTTCTGATGCTGTTGTATAATATTATTATACATCTGTCACCATTACGCTATAGAGTGCCATAATTTTGCAGTATTTCGGGTGTATTTTCATCCTACCATATTAGGAAATGCGAATTTCAAATATGGAATGATTACACACGTAAGCGTCCTCTAATAATAAAAACAAATGTGGCTGCCACCAGGGTTTGACTGGACTCCACACAAAGGAGTTCGCTGATACTTTTTGGATTTCGGTATTCCCATGATGTATCGTTTGGAAGGAAAAGATGTATAATAATACGGTTATTACAAGGATACCTCTGCTGCTCGTCGGTCAATGCTTCCGTTGTACTCTCTTCGTGCAAACTTTGAGGTATTCTCGTAATAACCTCATATTATTGTAACTATCCATGGAGGCCTATATCAGGCGATGTGTTACTGTTTTACATAGTCACATGTACTCTGGTTTCTCGTCTGAAGATTAGTGTGGTGAGAACACTTCTGATATTTTTTTCGATATGTCAGTTCACTGAATTTTGTATTGTATTACTTACAGACCCTGATGAATCAGTTGCATTCCTTGAAAAAATAAAAGAGAAGGTAAATGATTGCTAAATTGCACTCTGAGATCATTCCTGTAGTTTTATTAGGGTCTTATACGTATATGTAATATTTGATGATCGGAACTTGAATTATTGACTAATTTTTAGCGATTTTCAGTGCATAAAAATGTTGGCAATCATTTGATGTACAATTTTGATTGATTGTTCGAAATCCATTTGCTAAATTTTGTTTATATTATTCCAAATCTGGCCTGCAGTAATTTGAAATATTGGCAAATATTTTCAGCAATTTGTGCATATTCATCGCATCTAATACTTCACCTAATACACCCCAATAAAACAAATCTTTATTGTAAACTCTCTTGTTTAACTTCAAAATGCATTCAAGTGAAAAATGTCTTTTTAGCGAATTTAGCGAGAGAACTAATTCGCTAATTTAAGATGTCGCTAATGACTTCATTATAAATTCAAAATGGCGGACCAACGTCTTTTTCTCCACATACACACTTTGTAAACAACACAGAAAACATAATCTGGAGGGCTTCCTCATTACACTTGACATTTTTTTTTTGCGCATTTGTTTTGGCAGGCGACAGACAAGTATTATGAAAACAGGAAATCAACAAAGAGAGATTCGCTAAATCAACATTTCGCTATTGTGCCATTTTACCACTATTTGCTAAAATAGTATGTCGCTTTTTCAACATGTTTTCCAGTATTTACTTTGATTTGAATTTTATAGGTCAAGGCAAATGAAGAAGCAGTTATATTATGCATGACAGCCATGGCTATTATTAAGCTGCGGACTGGGAAATTAGAGGAATGCAAGGTCAGTGTTACATGTGTGTAGGTCTTGTATTTGTACAGTATATACAACTGAGATGGTGATCGCTTTTATAGGACCACATTGCCATAGTGACCACATTGCCATAGTGACCACATTGCCATAGTGACCACATTCAGAGATGACTAGCATTTGATGGTGACAGAATGACAATCTTATTCAAATTGTTGATCATCTACTTATATTCAAAACTAAAGTTGTCAGCGAATTAGAGATGAAACGGAGATGGGTAGCTGAAGTATTTTCTTGGATGTAAATTCTTATAGGATTCACATGTGATTACAAACATCTATGTTATGTTATGTTTGAATATTACTAGTAATATAATGTTAAAATGTCTATGTAATAAATTATGAGTGCTCCATAAACTAGTAAATTGTGAATAAATTTGACACATCTTTGCATCTCAGTCCACTATAACTGATATCTTTATCAGTCCCCGTTCGTACGAAGTCCGAAAACAGGGACTTATAATTCGGTCTCCGTCCGGAGTCATATTTCAGAATCCTTTGGACCGATTCCGTTCATTCTTTGCATGTGCATGTGCCTAGTACTTTATGGTGGGACATATGCACATGCAGTGGTTTAGCGATTCGATTCAAAATGGCCGACTGGCAGCCATCTTGTTTTTTGAAAATGTTGTTTTTTGGACATGCTTTGTCAGTTTTCATTCAAACTTGGTACATAAATTATACCATGTCCATGACAATTTCTTTCACAATTGGATCAAAGATGGCCGACTGGCAGGCATCTGACCCTTTGGCCTTACTACTATATTTTTAAGATTTATGTACAATTTTCATTCGTATTTGGTACATACATCATACATGTCACTTTGTTTCATAATCAGATCAAAGATGGCCGAATAATGGCTGTTTGTATTTGTGGCCATATTACTATATCTCTGTCACCCATGTATCATTTTCTTTGATATTTAATATGTCATAAATGGATACATGTACATGTCAATTCAATTTGCAATTTTTATCAAATTTTGCCGACTGGCGTCCATCTTTTTTGTTTAAAATGTGATAACTTGGACATGATTTCATATGCGATCTATGTTTTTCTTTGCTATGTCCCGAACCGGAGGGGTCGTCATGCAACACATGTTCGAACTTGATGTAAATAATCTGTTGTATACGCCACTTGGGACTCAAGTTTCAAGGATATGCTCGCGACAACCCCTCCACTTTAATATGACGAGCACAAAGAGAACTTTCAAAAATTTAATGGGGACTGTGTCATTTTCAATGACTTGTTTATTCATATTTCAAACAAAAATCCAAATATAAAATTGATCACATTTCAAACAAGAATACAAATTTAAAATTCATCACATTTCAAACAAAAACTCAAATATAAATGATACATCTTTTTTTATTAATAACATTTTAAACAAGCACATGTCTATGCATTTGTATATTTAATTAACAGTAGTACCTAAACTAATTGGTAGTGAACATATGTGTTTTTCTTAACATGTTATTTAATTTTCTATACCTCTAGGTAATTGTATTAGAAGCAGGTAAATTACTTGAGAACATTGATGGTGTAACAACTGTACACAGTAGATATTATGATGTCACCAGTAATTGTCATAAATTAATGGGTTCCCATGCAGACTACTATCGTGAAGCTTTACGATATCTAGGATGTATAAATGTTGAGGATATACCTTGTAAGTAGATGATGTGATAATGTCTGTCTATGATTGTATTGATTACTAATGATATAATGATTATATCTTGTAAACTATTAATGTTTTGCTGCTAGATTAATTCACAATTTTGAGAACACTCGGACAACATTTTGTTCTGAAGAACACCAGTGATAAGTAAACTGCAGTTTCCATCCTTGTGGACAGTGTTTCCCCTAGAAGTATGAGAATAATTGCCAAGTGGCTATTGCAACCTCCAAAACATTAGCCAAAAATAATTTTCTGTAGCCAGTTCCTGTTACATAGAAAAACTAATTTAACTATAAAAAAAAGTGGGACCCTCGAAAGGAGTAAAATTTAAGCATGAAATATAATGCTTATATGAAACACACAACTTTGTGATGTAACTGACTTTTATTAACATGTTCAAGTAATAAAAGTGAACATTAGTATAACAATGTAGTATAACAAAACAAACATTCATTTTCACAATGCAATGTTTAATTAACACCATATAATTCTGATTCACTTAACTTTCAGTGTCTGACACTTGGTCTAGACAATCAGAACTATAGTCTAGTTGCTCATTAATTTCACTTAGAGTGTGTTGTAATTGTCTTACATTGGTGGCCATACTTGCACATTATTGAACACCTCAGTTGATGGGACACTACCGGTACTATAAATTCTTCTTTGTTTCTGACTGTACCAAACAGCATAAGCAGAATGGAAATCAAAATTTGTAAGTGCTGGACCATTTAGTCTAATGTTCATTAAAACACTTACATTTTCCACCTTGAGCCTATTTCTAAGCTTAGTTTTGCACAAATTATATGCACTGTAGCCCTGTTCACATTCAGCAGTTGACATAGGAATGGTTAAACCAATCTGCACCAAATTTTGCAAGGTTTGGATATTTTTTTTTATAATATATGAGCAAATACTTTCCAAATTGTTTTACAGCCAGGTAATAAAGTCCTTAGATTGATCCAATCATTCCTTGTATCTACTGGATGAATTAGTAGGGCAAAAACAGTACCAGATTGCAATACCTTCTCAGTACCATAATGCTCTACTAATATATCAATTTCAGAAAAACCAAAATCTAAAAGTTTCTCCTTATTGTTAGGGAGAGTATCTGGTTCAAAAATACTGAATGCTTTAAGAATACCAGTATCTGGAAACCTAGTGGCAATATTATCTGCCAATTTCACAATAAATTGGGTTCGTACTGAATTAAAATCATTTCTCTGTTTCTTACTGTCTTGAATTGTACGACTCTTATAAAGAAATGAATCGCCCTCATTTATTGTTGGAATTGCCTAAAATAAAGTTTTCAAATTACTTCCATCAATAGACTTCATTGCAACAATAGAATCTATAGTTGACTGTATATTGCTTGAAACTGATGAAAATGTAACATTTCTGCTCTGAAATTTTAGAGATAAAAACTTGATAAAATACAGTGCATCAGAAAGAAAACAAGATGTGGCTAGAAATTTGCAGTTAGACACTGACTTTAAAAGACCTGATGCACATAGATCACCCTTTTCACTCTGTTCTATAAAGCATGTTATCAGTGAATCAAAACATATCACTATAGCATCAACAGCCCCACTAAATGAAAGCCAACGTGTATCGAATACTTGCTTAAACCTTCTTTTGGCATCGCCCAGTATGTGCTGTATTTTCTTTCGTTTGCTCATGTGGTTTGGCATTTATTATTTCTTGGTATTTTTTAAGGTATGGTATAGATTTTGCAGCTTGGGATGTAGCCAAGGCTAAGTGATGGGCTACACAATGTACAGACACTATAAAAGGATTTTGCTCTTTTACTCGTGCAGCAACTCCAGACTTTTTGCCTGTAAACACTGATGCACCATCACTACCTAGTGAAATAAAATGTTCAACTGTAAATCCTTTCATTTTAATGATTTCCAAAAGTTTCTCTGTTATTGTTTCAGCATCACCACTGTCTAACTCCACAACTGTTAAAAAGTTAGTTATCAACAAAACGTATATAAACCATTGGGGTTTTATCAACAGAAACATCTGTAGACTCATCAGACAAAATAGCATAAAACTTGGCCTCCTTAACATCTTCTCCCATCTTATTTATTACATCAGCAATAGATGCTTGAAAACCTTCTATACTGCTGGAGTGCTCATATGTTGTTCGATTATCACACTTCAAATTCTGGATGGATTCAACTCCCTAAGTTAAAAAAAATCATTTTAGTTTTGTTTTAAAATTGACAAATTATCAACAAAAAATTACTAAATAAACTAGGTAATGGTGAATGAAGAGATAAAACATTCTTAGTAATATATTACGTACCTGTTCCTTCAAAAACTGATTCATAGATGTCAATTTTACATTGGCGATATTTTCCTTGGCGAACCAGTACACGCTGCGTAGAGCTGCCAATACAGCAGGCTCCGCTTCGGCAAACAAATTTTTCATTGCATGCTTCATATCTCGTGATGAAAATTTATCTTGCATTGCTTGTTTATGATCCCTTGTCGATGCATGTTTCTTCATTGTCAAGTTTCAGTTTATCACATCCATTAGTAAAGATATTTCGGGTATGATTTAACCCAGTCATCACGCATACCTCCGTTGACGCGACTTCCCATTTTCTTGGTACTTTCAGGACCTTGATTTTTCTTTGGTTTATCGTCCGTTGCGACATTTATTTGAACTTTGTTATCAGACTTGTCTTTTTTTGAAGGAGGTGGTTTTACTTGTCCTTCTACGAAAGTGTCAAGCGTACCCTGATAAATTCATTTGCTACAAGCGGAGCCTTGCATATTGGCAGCCATTTTAAAGAATGTTATGATGACGTCATTCATATAATACAGCGCACGCTATTGGATAACAAACGGAATGAAGTCACAGGATACCCAATTGGAAACAGCCTTACAAAATAGAGTTGTTTTATGATAATTAGTGTTTACGTGTTTCGTTTTTTTTCACGTGGAAATCTTTCTGGGCAGGCAAACAGAAAAAGTTCACACATTTTTGTTATAATTTTAGCAATCGCCAAATGACGAATTGGGGAAACTTTTCATTAGCCATTCTGATTTTTTTTTCGCCACTTGGCGATCGGTAGCAGAAACACTGCTTGTGGACAGGATTTATACAATGCAGTGTCATTGACAGGAATCCTCGTCAGAAAATTATTTCAGAGGTTGAAGCCAGAGATTGCGCATATACTGCTTCCCTTACCCTCCAATATTAAAAAAGTACCTTCACCAGAGTACAAAAAGGGGTCCCATTTGTACACAGAATATATTGCGAGTTCCAGGTCATTTTCTCATCTGGACTTACTACAATGCTAGCACAATTCCTGCTGGGAGCCCTATGCTCCGTGTCTAGGTCCCTAGTTTTACTTGTAATTGAACTCACTTTACTTCCTACACACTTCATTACTGCAACATTTGCTTTTGAAAGCTCATCTTCGTGCTTCTGTTTACAAGATCCATTTACATCCTCAGTGTCATCACAACTGTACTCCCATCTGAATTGTATTCTCCATATTCCATTCTGATTTCTCCTGTCTTGACTTCCTTGTTAAATTGTCGCAGCCAGGGGGCTTTTCTGGCTTCCGGATTTCACACCTCATTTCTATGCTTTTAGATACTGTAATAACACTGTTGTTTTGTTTTTCAGCTGATGAACAGAAAGATAGAGCTTTCAATCTTGGGCTAGCAGCATTATTAGGAGATGGTGTATATAATTTTGGAGAACTTGTGAGTTTTTAATTTATGCATGCCTAGTTGTCTTGTGTTGTACCAAATAGAAATTAACAATACCTCTATAAAGCACAAGCTCTAACCTTGTCTTAGTATCAAAGTATGAAAACGGAAACTTATAACTAAACTTCTAATCATCCACATCTATATCTCAGCAAAACTAAAAACTTATCAGCTACATTTAAATTATAATTAATATTAGTACTTTAACAGTGTATCTATAATAATATAAACACTAAACTCAAATGAACTCTCTATATATTTATTTTCTGTTATTTTCAGTTGGCTCATCCTGTCTTGGACTCGTTGAAAGAGACTGACAAAATCTGGCTGGTTGACTTGCTGTTTGCTTTTAATAGTGGTAACTTAGAAAGATACGAGTCTCTCAAACCACAGTGGAAACAACAGGTAAGTGCCCTAATAGCCATACATGCGTCTTTTATATTTCACTATCAATGTCTTTATTCATGCCTTGTACATGTATACTGGGACTGATATGTAGCCCAGGAAAATCGTGTTTAAGAATAATTTAATTAAGAAATATAATTTATTTTGCTTTCCAAATATCCAACTGTCCATAGTGGCTACATGTGATATGCTATGTAAAGAACTCCTGGACGAATAGAGCAACAGAGCATTCTATCCAAACAAGCTACAGGGTATAGCCCCCTCTAGTGGTATATAAGGCCTCATTTGTTCCACTGTATTTTTTGTTTGTATACAAATAATATAGAATTAAGAAATTTGAGTGAATGGAAAGAAAATTTTCACTTCCAAGTTGTCAAAAAGGTAACTTTACCTACTGGATTACATGTATGTGACAAGTTGCAACTGTGTTCCCCTCTCAAAATAGGAGTCATATTACTCCATTCTGTTATGGTGACCAATGTATTTACCACTTGCTCTATTTTCTTCCAAGCCTGATCTTGCAGCTAGTGAGATGAATCTACGGCAAAAAATCTCCCTACTTTGCTTAATGGAGATGACTTTTACAAGACCAGCCAATCACAGAAATCTTGCTTTTGATGAAATTGCAAAGGAAGCTAGGTTGCCTGTTGGTGAGGTGAGTTTTCATAGGAAGTTAGGTTGCCTGTTAGTGAGGTGAGTTTTCATAGGAACTTAGGTAGCCTGTTAGTGAGGTGAGTTTTCATAAGAAGCTAGGTAGCCTGTTAGTGAGGTGAGTTTTCCTAGAACGCTAGGTTGCATCAATTGGGATGAGTTTTCCTAGGAAGTTAGGTTGTCTGTGTGTGAGGTGAGTTTTTATAGCAAGTTAGGTTGCCTGTGTGTGAGGTGAGTTTTCATAAGAAGCTAGGTAGCCTGTTAGTGAGGTGAGTTTTCCTAGAACGCTAGGTTGCATCAATTGGGATGAGTTTTCCTAGGAAGTTAGGTTGTCTGTGTGTGAGGTGAGTTTTTATAGCAAGTTAGGTTGCCTGTGTGTGAGGTGAGTTTTCATAAGAAGCTAGGTACCCTGTTAGTGAGGTGAGTTTTCCTAGAAAGCTAGATTGCATCAATTGAGATGAGTTTTCCTAGTAAAGTTAATTTTGATAAGAAGCTAGGTAGCCTCAATTATTCAAGTGATTTTATTTTTGTAAAAAGCAACGTACAGCATACCATTGGATTTGACCAGAATATTTCTCATAATATTCACAAGATCAGTGACTGTAAAAAGTTTTCTTCTTCATTTCCACAGGTTGAACATTTAGTCATGAAAGCGCTATCATTAGGTTTGGTTAAAGGTTCCATTGATGAGGTTGATAAAAAAGTGCACATGACATGGGTCCAGCCACGAGTACTAGATCTGCAACAGGTAAATATACTCTCCATTAGAAGTGAACCTTCAGTAGACATGTAGAAATATAGAAATCTTCTGCTAGATTGCTTGAATATATGAACAACAATGATAAAGTACTTGAGTAATCGTTAGTTATTTAATACCCCCAGAACTGAACACTAGTATATCATTTAGCACATCCAATAAAAATGCTCCTGTTTAACACCAGAAAGTTTAAACACCAGAGGGTTGAATGAAATGTCTGTGGCATTTCTTTTGAATACCAACTCAACTACTGTAAAATACTTTATTTTCGCTTGGAATTAATCTTCGCTATTTTCGCTGAAGGGATGATTCAGTGAAAATAATATCCAGCAAATATATCTTTTTTCCTATACTGTAAAGTTACTAATTTTCACTGGGTTTAAATTTCACTGATTTATCATTTTAGGCATATTCACGGTTTTATCATTTAGATAATGTGTTCTATGCAAAATTTTACATATTCACTGGGTTTTAATTTAGCGCATTTTCCAGTCAGCGAAATAAGCTAAATTAAAACCCAGTGAATAATTAACCCCTTTACTAGTATTTTACATTTAACACGTCAAAAATCAGTGAAAATAAATTCCATACAATACACCTAAAGTCTTTTCAGCGAAAATTAATTCCAGCTAAAATAAAGTATTTTACAGTATTATATTTTGCTTTATCACTTACTGTAGAAAACTTCACATATCGATGAATGTGGCTAAATCCATGGTTTTAGGGAACGCATAAAATGCCATCAATTTTTGTTAATATTAGAATATACTTTTTGATATATTAACTATGTGAAAAATAACATATTTACTCTATTAGAAGTGTATATAGTGTATATAGAGTGCAAAATCTCATTTGTTGTATATTGATAAGATTCACTAAAATTTACTTATTTTAACACATTAATAATAGCATGCACCACTAATAGAGTATTGCTATTTTTAGATTAAATTTTACGATCACAGTAACTTATGATATAATGATAGATGTATAATAAATATGAGGTTATTATGAAAATATACCAAAACATTTTGCACAAGGGCATTTGGGTGATTGTATTAGCAGCTTTTCAAAGCCTGCACAATTTATATACTCAATTAAATTTCAGTATATTTTAATTTAAATATTTTCATACTGAATTCGTAAAACAAAAAATTCGGTGAAAATAAATTCCACACAAGACACCCAAAAAGTCTTTTTCAGCGACAATTAGTTCCAGCTAAAATAAAGTATTTTACAGTAAATATATTCTAAATAGGGTAGACATTCAAACATGTCTGTACAGTGTTTTACGAACTAATGAATTATGTTTTTACTGCTATATGTATAATAATATTTAATAATTTATTATAGATTGCAGGTATGCAGCAGCGATTGCAGCATTGGTGTACAGACGTACAAAATATGGAAATGATGGTAGAGGTCAAAGCGCAAGATATACTTACGTAGTTTTTAACAACACTCTTCGTTCATTTAAAATAGTTCTATTTTGGTCCTAAGATTCTGTAACTTTATTGTGAGTTACAAATTGTGGAATTTATTGCATAAATTATGTTAACACACAATTGAAATAGGAAGACTGTCTGGGTTCTTGTTTTGGCAATGTTGTCATCATTGTTGTGTATCGCTTGTTTGTATTCCAGAGTAAACGTGTATTTTCTTCACGCAGATTATCCAAGACTGTTCATGTAACTATTACGTTCCTTTGACCCCTAATAACATACATTTAAATTGAATATTCTCACCTGTGTATTATTACTCTGTTTATATTTAAATTGTTCTGATTGGCCTAAGGAATGTCAAGCCAGACCCAAGATAACAGCCTCACTCTGATTGGCCAAGATAAAACTAGACAGTAGCCATGTTTCAATTGGTCAGAAAGAATGCAAAGCTCTGCACTAGGTAGTAGTCCCATTCTGATTGGCTAAGAGAATTGACAAGACGTAGATAGTAATAAAACTGTTAACAAAAATATTTAAGTCATTTTTCTCTCCCATATACGTTTTTGTATCGTCACTTGGCATGATATTGATGTAATTCTTACAAAGTTCAATAAACTGTTATTTCTATTGCCTAGATTGCCTTGCTGTGAAATGAACGAGAAAGTAAGATTTTTTTGTTGTCCTTATGCACCATGTGTGAATACATTGTTTAAAATTTGAAAAAGTCAGTTGGTATAAAGTTAATGGATTAATAAACATTGAAGTACACACAAACCCAATATGGAAATACACATCAGTCATTGCATCCCTGTACTACCTGATAACATACTTTGACAGTCACTAAAAACTGAATGGGAACTGCCATTTGTCATTGACTTGTTCATGTGTTGATTGCAGTCAATTTTGCCTTCATACATTGTTATGAAATTCCCAAGAATACAATTCACTTATCACTGTGTATGAAGTAAATGTCCATGCAAAGAATCTTGTAAATAACTCGCTTTACCAAGGATCATTTGCAAAAATGCAACACAGTCTAATTCCTTCAACTATGTATTAATGAGTTTTTCCACTTGAATTGGGTAAACCTTTCACGGTTACCAACAAGTAATGTCGAAGAGTAGTTTGCTCGTTGACACACCACCCCATTCACGAGTCTCCATGGACACGATTATTCAGAAAAATAAAACTATGGTCAATGACCAGGCTTCACGATTTGACGATTAAGTTTTTGGTGTTTCGAAAACTTTTACTTGTAAGAAATATGAATTACTTCAGTATTGCAACATCGGGGTTCATCCAGAGTAAATAAAAGAATAGAAAAGATATAAACCACGTTCGCCTGTCATGCACTCTCTGAAATTGTTTTCTCGTAAAAGCAGGAACGAAACTACCGTACCAATCACAATTATTATGCAATGAAATGCACTTTTTACCTGCATGCATTGTATTTTAATAAATGTCGTCGACACTCGGAAAAACACCCTGGGCCTATACTCGTTAAATGTCCAAAAACAGAGGGGTGATCCGGGCATGCTAAGATGGAAGTGTAAATGACCACACAACCACATAAATCTTGCCTGTTTCTTCCTTTGAAAAGACAAAATTAACACTAAAAAATAATTATGCATTCTTAATTTATTAAATATATAAACTGTATCAGAAAGAAAATCACTGGCACAATTTTGCAAAGATTTCTCCCCACTCGAATATTTTCTTAGAATATAAAAATATTGCCCTGATTATGTACACCATGGAAGACAAGAATGTGACTTGCATCTTCACTGTTTTAAGAACTGCTGTCAATGAACAGCATGCATGGGACTTGTACCATGACATTGCAACAAGTGCCAACAAAAACAGTGTTTGAATTTACACTTAAAATCATTTTTAAATTTCAAGTTGCAATATTGGGGGGAGGGCTGTGTACAAATGTAGTTAAATTGGCAATTAAATATGTGAACATGTGTACAACTCCCTATGACCCCACTAAAAGTCATCGTAACTCCCTGCATCTCCAAAATAATATCAATAGTTGCTTCTGGTGATGACCATATACTCTAAAATGTTTGTGAAATATGACAACATAAAAATATTTTTCATTCATGATGAATAATTATAAATGATATTTATAAGTACATTGTATCATATGAGGGACAAAGTCCAAAGATATCTTAAATTTGTGAAAGTCTATGCAAAGCTACTTGCAAGATTATGTCACCTGACAGTCAGACCAATCAGAAAACAGCTTGTTTGTTGATAGGTATCAAATTTTGCAAAGCTACTTACAAGATTGTGTCTGATTGGCTATTCCACCCCATTACCTAACTGTCAAACCAATCAGAGAGCAGCTTGTTTGTTGATAGGTTTAAAATTCTCTGATGATCTCTGCGTTTTACAACCCCAGAATTTTGCTAAGTTATCTGAATTGAATTGAAGCAGCACCAGTCATCGAAACATGTCTAATGTGTAAAAAAAGTGTTCACACAAAATTCACATATTACTGTTGTGTTTTAATATGGAGACTACTAGTATAGTAGCAAGCCTGAATTACAGAATGAATCTGAAATATAATTTTATGGTTTTAAAACATTTTGAAAACAATAGTAATAATTTTATAATAAATTATCATAACTACAATGAATACCATTGGAATTCATTGCACTCGTGTAGATTAGCTAAAATTTACTACCCAATCAACAATCGCTCATTTTACTAATTCCATTATCTTGTTGGTAAAAAGTGATCTGAATGGCGAGAATTGAAATTCTATTCAGTAGCAGTTTCATACTGTTCATTGCACTGATGGTAAAAAGTAAGCTGGATTGGTGGAGAGCAAGCTACATTGCTCCAATCAGAAGGATTGTCTCATTTGTGCTTTCCCCAAATTGTAAGGTTATCTTGAAGTGCCTTTGTCTTGTATTTGACCTGTGACTGCGGCTCAGAAACAACAGAGTTCTTCTTGGATTTAGCTGATCTTGGCTTTCTACTTGTTTTGACACGACTAGATTTAGATTTCGGGACTTCAGTTGGTTGCCATGGTACTGGATTATAATAACTTGGTATTGGGTAAGCACCAGCATCATAGTAACCTGATGAGAAAGTATGATGAGATATTTCTTGTAAGATTTGGTCAGCTGACCTAAACACAGAGTTGGGTCAATCCATTAAAGAACTTTTATTATAGTGCCTTGCTTCAACAAACTGGAGTAAATGGTACAGGTAACTACCAGGAAAAAAAAATCTGTCTTATTTGCGCATGTTTGCCAAATAAGCATGGCATAATATCCAACAAAAATCTCTAATTTCAATCAAAATTAGTGTTTGTTTACAAATTCATCACATCCAACAACTCTGCCAAAGCCATGTGAGAAAAATAAAGGCCACCTCCTTGCATCATTTTCAAATTCCAAAGAACAAAAGAAAAACCTTAGTTTCTTTTTCTCACTACTGAACGTAAAACAAAATCTTGCAATTAATTATGCTAATGTTTTTCTTGTTATTGAAAAATGTGTTTAAAAACCGTGTTAAAGAAGATTTCAAACATTTGTTTGGTTACATGTTTGTATCCAGTGAGCTGATATTTATATTCATGCCTGATGAATGAAGGAGAGCCCCACAAATGTCACCAGAGAGGGCATTATAGAACGAAAATGAGCAAATTAAAACTTCCAAACCTTGCTGGAACTAATTACCTGTTAATGTACCCATGGTGTAACCAAAACTACTCCTCTGTGGTTTTGGACGATTCTTTGCCTGATCTTTCCATTCATTGTATTTCTCCTCTGCTTTCAGTCTTCTTTCCTTCTCTTCCTCTTCTTTCTTTGCCTGTTTTTCCTTTTCCTTGCGCTTTCTTTCTTTTTCGGCCTCTTTCTTTTTCTCAGTCCACTCCTGGAATTTCTCCTGGAATATAAAATATACATCTTATATATTACTTAGTTGCCATGGTAAACTACTGCTCACAGTGTGACAGCAATTACTAGTACCGTAATACAAACTTTCCCAGACTGCCAAGTAGCATAGATGTTCCTATTTTCTGAATAATGCATCATATTTGCATGGGAGAGCAAAGACATCCAACTTACCGTAGCCTTTTCTTCAATTTTTCTTTTCTCTTCTTTCTGCATCTCCTCCTCAATTCGTTTTTTTCTCAGCTCATTCTTAGTCCGCACTTTCTGCTGAATAGTTTTCTGTTCCGACCACTCTTTATATTTTCCACTTGCTTTTTTTAATAATTCCTCTTTTTCTTTCTTTTTTTCCTCCTCCTGTCTTTGTTTCTCTTCCTCAATTTTCATTGCTTTCTTAACCTTTAGGCGATCTTCCTTCTCTTTACTAACTAACCACTGTTCCCACGGTGATAACGTGTTTCCATGGTCACTGGATGAGATTGAGCTCTCTGGTGTCTTGATGTTTCTGGTTAAATTGGCTGGTCTGTTATTCAAAGTAAGAAAGATATACCTAGCTTATTAGATTGTTTTTCAGAGTGTACAAGTTGAAAGAACAGATTATACTGTACAACCAATTGATCTCCCTGGTTAACATTGCTTCTTTGCAATTTTCGAGTGCCCCCTTGTGGTACTAAATAGAATAATTTTTTTTTTTTTGTTCTGCTGTTCAATTTACAACTTGGCAAAATTATTCGAGTAGTGCTGAAACTGAAATTGAACCAAGTAGAGTATTTTATTATATGTTCATCAAGCCCTCATTATTATATAAGTTCATATCATAAAAATATCGAGAATGAAAATTTGGGTCACAAGACAATTTTACCAAAATTTCCTATTCCAATGTTGAAAATTGTTTGTAGACAAGTAAATGAAGACAACGGAATGTTTAAATATTTGTGCAAACTGTGTTTTAGTAAACTGACAAAACTGTTAACATATTGACTTGTCCAACCCGGTCTTCGTTACTACCACTGTGGTTGCAACAAAAACATCATTTTGCTCAGATACAGTACTAAGCGCTTTCTTTTGATGGTCAGTAAGCTCGTTGAGGGAAAAATCTAGCAACATGTTCATACGATTTTAATTTCACTAATTAATACGTTGTTTCTTTCGTGAGTTCTGATTGGGTGATGCAAATGAGCCGATGTGCGTCTTATAATTGTTTGAGGGTGTGCGATATTAAGTAAATTGTGGTGAAATCTGCCAAAGGTTAATGTTTAGGCTTCAGCTGAATAAATGGTCCTTGGCTGGTGAAGATGTGTGAACCACAGTCACTTGGGGGCTGAAAATCAATAAATACTAATTTTCAAAAAACAATCATCCGCTATACGTATATAAATAAACAAGTTGTGAAACACGGCACCTAGTAAATCGACACCCTGTCGGTTTCAAATGTCGATTTCTTACCTTAAAATGCGAAACAAAAAGTGCAGAGGGG